GATTGCTTCTTAAAAAAAAAAAGGTATATATATATATATATATATATATATATATATGTATATATATATATATATGGACTGGCCGATTTCACAGCCTTTCTCTCTTTACACACTTATCCCATAACACGTATTTTTGCAATCGTGTTTAGTAACGGTTATTTTGTAATAAATATTGTCATAGGCTACTATATTTCAACCGAATATATCAAGATAAATTAGCATTAATTTAAATACCAACGAATTTCAAATTATTTGTAATTTAAACTAATCAAAACTAAGAACATTTAATAAATATTTAATTGAGTCATTGAGACCTATTTTCATGTTCTGAATATCTTCCTTTTTTTTTTTTGTACTGTTTAGTTTATCCAAATAAAACGAATTAATTGAATTTGTTTCTCAACTTGATAACGCTTGAAATCAATAGTGGAAAAATAGAAGCAGTGAAGGACATTTCTGAATACTGGAATTGATTTTTAGAGACATTTCAGCCATGTTGAAAAAAGTAATGAATAACAAGCCATGCTGTGGAGTGAAAAGCGATAAGGTCCCTACTAAAAAGGCCCGAATTATGTGCCACGTTAAAAGAATACGTGAGAAAGTGATGGGTACACAGCCCATGCTAACCCATACACAACCTGACCGCTCAAATATGAGAGACTGCGTTGTAGATATTAGAGATAGTATGGCAGAAATAAAATGGCTAATTAATTTTCTGCAAGAACGAATGCTGGGTACTCGACACCACGTAGATTTTTAAATGCACCGATTTTACACACTGGTTTTACTTTTGGGCCTATATTTGCATATTCAACTGACTAATGCAAGTTCCCCGACTAATACATCCCCTGTTAAAATTACAGAGGAAACTTTTCGCTATTTATGTGCGGAAATTTAGTCTACATTGCATATTGATAAAAGCCACTCAAGTCTAGGTAAAACTAATAGACACTTGCGTTTTATTGACCAATATAATTAGCACAAATACACTAAACTGGTTTTATTGCATCTCACAACAATCTGCTGTTAATAGCCTAAACACAACGCCATCACAACAAAAACTAAATGATAATTTAAAGTCTTAACCTTTCCATACGACAGATAACCCACAGCATGATTTACATTTAAAGAAAACAAAGACGTTTTAAAATCTTTTTTTTTCTATCGATACCCACGATAGATTTTTTCATTTACAGTACAAAAAAAAACTACCAGCTCTCTCAAGTGAGAAATAAATAGATTCGTTGTGCACTTCACCTTGGCAGCTGGGCAAAGAAAGGCCCACACATTTGAGTAAAATGTCCATAACCTGCATCGCCCAAATCATTTCTCTTAAAAAAAACTATATTGATTCAGTTTTAGATAAATTAAACCCTGTTTCGCGTAAAAAATAATCCATAGGTATTCGCAATAACCCATGCTATATAACATGCATTTTATATAACTGTGGACTTAAAGGAACCCCCTTTACGCACAAGATACCTACGAAAACAAAATATATTATATTTTATAAATAATCAGTCATTTGATCTTCCCATCTCTCCTCGAAATAGTTCTCTTATAACCTTGTAATATCCTCGCCACGCTCGGTTCCGGAGAGGTCCTCGGAGGCTGACATGGTGTTAGTGGTGGAAGCTGCCGCCACAACGCCAGCCGCTGAGCTTGTGTTGGACCCGGAGGAAATGCCCGTGGAGGAAGAGGATCTGACTTTGGTGTTTGGAAGTCTATGGTCTTTTTTCCACTTCATCCTGCGGTTCTGAAACCAAATTTTGATTTGCCTCTCCGAGAGGACCAAGGAATGAGCAATCTCGATACGTCTTCGCCGTGTTAAGTACCGATTATAGTGGAATTCCTTCTCCAATTCTAAGACTTGCTGGCGAGTGTAAGCAGTTCTAGACCGCTTGGGTTCCGCTCCATTGTAACTAGGGTTCACTGGAAAGAGGAGAAGCAAAGGGAAAGGAAGAAAGAACAGAACAGAATAGAAAAGAAAAGAAGCAGCGAGGGAAGGATAGGGTAAAACAAGCGTGTCTTTCATTGAGAAATGGTGGCGACAGAGGAAATGAGGGTGGGCTAAAATATCTAAAAGTTAGCTTTCTATAATAAGGCTAAAATCACATTGGACTCAGCACTGAATTATTAATGCAACATTATAAAGCTTAGTTTTTCTCTGGTCCCAGATCTCTCTCACTCTCTCGCACACTCATAACAAGAGAAGCCACATGGTGATACGACTGCCCAGAGTATACCTCGGCTATAAAATTTATGGTGGGTGTAATTACCAATGCCTAGTCGTAAATCCGCCTCAATTGTGCCATTTCAAAGGCTTCTATCCTATCGTAGCAGGGGCTGGCCAGGGGATGAGTGTAAAAAGGAGTGAGGCAGACGGAGAGAGAGAGTTAGGATGAGGGGCGAGCTTTATAGTGCTTAAGAGAAATACACTCAAGTTGCCTACCGGTGCTGACGTGAATTTTCTTCATCCAGGGGTACACTACGGGTTGTTTGGCAGAAGCTGAGCTGTTAGGATGCTCCGGAGTGGCTTGATTGCAGGCGGACGATGCAGCCGGAGGGGTGGCAGGAGACAGGGTTAACGGTGGGGGCTCACATGAGGCAGATTGCCCTTTTCCGAGCAGGTGCCCCGCGTGAGGCAGTCCATGTCCTCTTTGAGTATCAGGCTCAGGGATGCTTGCACAGTTATACGGACGCTCCTGGTAGCACCATATGACCGCCCGGTAACCTGCAAGACCGTGCCCTGCATTTCTCTCTCCAGTTTAGCTATCTAAACAGGAACAGATACGAAACAAATAAGGAAAGCAAGCAAAGAAAAGTAGAAAAACAGTAAAGAAATAAAAACTTTGTAGAAACAATGCAGGCTATATATTAGCAACAGAGCCCACATTTTCAAATCCAGTTTTCAACCCACCAGAGAAAAATAAGAAATAATTTTTAAGTTTTCCCTAAATACATCGAAACCAAACAAACAGACAGGACATAACTCTTTAACAAATGAAATGCTCGGAAACAGCCGTTTTGCCTTATATGAAATCTTTTATTTTGCTTCGAGACCCTACAGATGTGATAGGGATTTTTTTTGGTCCACCCCCACCGGCTTGAAAACGCCCCCATCCACCCACTCGGCACTGCTCTAGTGTTGCGGGCGCATTTTAATATGAGTTAGACAGCCTGACCCGCATTTCACCCCTCGTGTTCGACTCGTTCCAGTAGTTCACTGCCAAGGAGTTATTGATGAGCGAAAAGCGATGAATTCCCTCTGCACATAAATGGCCTCAGATCCTGCACCAGCTCAATAACTAGTTATAATGTAGAGACTTCCAAAAAGCTAAAACCGCCGGCGAATTTGCCTGATGATTTATAGGTGATTCCCCCCAGACATAGATAGATAGATAGATAGACAGACAGACAGACAGACAGACAGACAGACAGACTGATACATAGAATAGGATTCAGCAGAAAATTCTATATAAAGAAGGTGGGATTTTAGATGGAAGAATATGCCAGTTGTCCATGACCAGAATCTAGTGTGTGTACTCTTGAACGAATGACATTTTAGGCCTATATGATATTTAATGTATGCGCTTTGCAATAATTTTGAATGATTTCATTTTTGGGCGCATAATTCTTGCCTTATAAATATCGAGTTAATTTTAGTTCACGTGACCTAAGCTGTTCTACAATATAAAAAGGACCAGGCCTTACCTATTATTTATTTATTTATAACCTTTTGCGCTCTTAAGCATTTAAAGTCAGATTTAAGTTTGTTTTATATAATTATATGCGTACTTTTGATTGTGAAATGTTTCTTTGTTGAGAAATCATGAATATGATTATACAGCATTGATTCATTATTTGAGTTAGGATCAATTTATTTGAGTTTGTTGTCCGTCTGTTCACTGTGAACAAAATACGTTTTTTATTTATTTATTATTTGTTATTTTTTTACATAATTTTTTATATGACTTTATATTTTTATAAAAATTATTTTTGTTTATGACTATTTTAACGCTTAATATGCTTAAAACAGAGAGGTGAGTCGGGTTCCACATAACATTTTGTATTTATATTTTAATGTATGTAATTGTTAATTTAGTTTTATTGTAATTTATATTGAAATATGGCGTTAGATTACACCTATTTAACACCTATGAATGTAAATAAATAGACCGTGTTTACTTGTAGAAAATTGTTGTTTTTTCCCCCAAATGTGTATATACATTTACTTTTTTGTCTAGCCTACATTAAAAATATATATAAAGAGACCTTACTGGCTTAGCACGACAAACAGCTTAAACTACAGCTCCTTTCCACTAAGACATGGGCATATGTGCTGTAGCTGTTCGCCGCTATTGTCAGGGAACACTGCCCTCTGTGTTTATACGCAGCGAAACAAGATGGGACAAGAATATTATACTAGAACAAGAAAATAACGGAAATACTTACCAGTGCAGGTCCTCCTTGCCTCACGTTCACAATTTCCTTATGCGCTAAAAAGAAAAAAAAGCAATTTAGAAAATAAAAATAAATAACACTTGTCTTCTCAGGCATGTAAGCATATCCTTTTTAACAATATAAAACGTTAGACAGATTTAAAATAATCGAAATCCTGTGATGGAAACCATGCACTCCTTCAGTATCCTGGTAAGTATAAAATATGCATACTGTGAATTCACATACAGTGTTGGGCCACTGTTAGTCATTGAGACCAATGGCAAAGAATATTTAACCCGAATGTTAACCATAATACTAAAGCAAAGAAAAGAATATAAATGTAATTTTAAAAAGTATGGTGATATTATATACACATAGAGGGAAACATAACTGTTTTATATATATACTCAATGCTACAATTAAACAAGCTCAAAACTGGAAAAAAAGGTACACAAAAAGGTACTTCTAAACACTATGGTATAATTTCAGCCAAATGTAAACTGTGTTTAGTCATAAGCTCTAATTCCTGCTTTAAAGTAATTTGCTATTACATACCAATGTTTCAATGTAGCAAATGCAGCATGATGTCATGACCAAAAGTTTCCTTGATAAAACATAATCTTGACATTATTTTAAGAAAAGTCCAAATACCAACTGCAATTTTTTTCCCCATTCATTCAGCTCATCCATCACTGAATGAAGAACAGTTTATCCACAAAGAGAACAAAGGTACTGTTTTCTATATTTTTAAAATGCTTGTCCAAACAGGAACTTTCTACAAACAAATCGTGAATTGTTCCAAAATTGAAAGCATTGCCTTTTTTAGTTACTCTGCATGCAGTGGCATGATTTTCAACTCTTGTCATTTACTCATTCTTTCTAAAGTTATCAATGTAGTGAATGTAACTGCTGCCATTTTCATTGAATGGCTAGTTAGATAGTAATCTGGTAGATGACAAAAGAATATGTTGAACCAAGACTAACCTGCACTGAGACGAAAACAGAGGAATATAAAACTATTGCCCCCTATTGGCAGTTAATGTTTTTGACACAGTATTCAGAGACTTAATGATCAAATAAAAAGATGCACATAAGGGCTTATTAAAAATAGTGGTTAAATGTATTCTTTATAATAAATGCCACCAACAAATTCATTTTAATGTATTAAGTGTTTCCATCACTCATGTACAACAATTGTTATAAAATAAAGTGTTTATCTTTTTCATAACAGTGGACATTTACTGAATGTGTTTTAATAGCAAATGTGATGGTTGCAGGTTGTACCACTGTACTCACCACATGACCCATTTATTCTCTGAATGACTAACCATTTTCCAAACCCTCACAAAAATGTTATGTAAAATGCTGTATAGTTAACATTATATTGATTAATATTCTAATCAGTGTACAATAGGGAATATTATCCACCTCGATCAATCTTTTGAGTGAGTAACACCTGCACCTACTCTGAGCCAAAAATGGTACCAACAGATATTAGCTATACACTTCTGCTTTGATGTGATAAAAACAGTGGAGTACATTCATATGATGTCCTTGTCAGCATGGTTGTTCTTACAATAACTGAATATAAACACATAAATAAGAACACAACATAATCTGAGAAAAGCATCTATGTAAAATAAATAAATAATAACAATTAAAAAAAGTTTACTTTTTTAATTGTAATTGTTTAAATATTTCTAGATTTATAGATTAGTCAATTTCTGATTTCTGGGATAAAGTATGGATATTAAAAATGGAAGATATATGAATGCAAATGTATAAAAATTGATTGTGGAATTGCATGACTATTGAATCAATGCTATTAAATTGCTTTTTTATGTATTTTTTGAAGTGTTGTGTAACATTCTTGCATATATTATAAGCAGTCATACATGTGTATAACTCACAACAATAATGATTGATTACTGCAATTAATTGGTAAACTTTGATTATTTAATCTATGTTTTTGTTAGAATATCAAATAAGATAGACTTAGACTTACACTTAGGTTACACACCGTTATTCCTGTATAAGCAACTTTATCAACTTTAACTTAATAACAACTTTAACTTAATACTAACTGAAGTTCCAACAAATTCAATATTTTACAAATGACATTTGATATCAGCACAAACCCCTCCTACTGTTTTTAATAAAATGGGAAAACACACACACACACAAAACAAAAAGGTATTTCTTTGAGCCTGGAGGAAAGAACTTTGGCAAGCCATGGAATTTACAACACAGCAGTATTTACAACCAGATGCAGCCTTACAAGACAGAACTCAGCGAAACAGGTCTTTACACTCTATTGTTTTCTATGTTTAGACACCACAAAATGCAATCAGTGATTGATAAGGAAACTGTGCATAGTAATTTTGTGAAATATTTGCAACTCTGACACATTCTGAGTAACTTTTTTTTGTCTCTCTTTACAGGTACCCTAAACAAAGATAATAGAAGAATGCTTTTTGTTGTTTAACAAAACGGTAAACTGAACTGAAATGGTAGATGACATAAAACTAGTGCACATTAATTGCAATCCACAGTTTTCTTTATTAAAACTCTTGAGAGTCTGTGATTAAAGCCGCCTTACAACTGGAAACAAAAGTTGTTGTCGTTGTTGTTTTTCTCAGCTGCATTGCAAAAAATACAACATTTCAGAACCTCATAAAACAGTGTTATATCTGTATTTTCAACTTAAATGTCCTTTCCTTAAACCATAATCATAATTTTCCCTTCATTATTATTGTTTGTACATGTATAACCTTTGCATAGCAAAATGGCCTGAATTAGTTCATGATGCCAAAACTGAGGCATTGGTTCTTTTTATTTAAAAAAGGTCTCAAAATATATCACAGGCCTCCACAGATTAGAAACACAGCAGTATGAAGATGGCAGTGGAGTTTCTTCTCAGCAAATATCACAGTGCATAGATTAAAGAGAACATTGTGGATGAACAAAGCAGTCTGACTTCTTCTGTTTCCAAGCACAACATCATAAAGTAAGATATGACTTAAACTTTTCATACCATGATTATAATGGTCAAGTAGCGCCTCATCTGTCAAATAAATACCACTGAATATCCGGGTGTTGAAAACCGAAAAATAACAGTGGTAAAAAAAAAAAAGTCATATGCTTTGTATAAAATATACTTTTTAATGTGCCTTTGAACCATTTGGAGTCATTTCAGTGTTTTTTTTTTTTTTTTGGTTAATGATGTGACTCTACCTCACCATCCTCACTGCCCTATACATGACCCCACCACACAACACCACATCTTCTCTGCCCTGCACATGACCCCACATTATGTCCGATCTAAAGATCTATGTTCTGCGCTCTCATCTGCAAACCAATACAAGATCACTTAGCTTCTCACAGTCCTTCACCTTCACTTTTAACAAAACATACGCAACCTAGGCAAAAACTAAGCACTTTTCACCATCCAAAAGTGGGGTATATACGCACATTCTGTGATACCAGATCGCAAATACTCAGGTGTATAAAAATTACGATCCAAGACAAAGCTTTTTACACATGTACAATGCTTTTAAGATGCATACAAGACGTTTTTGACTACATAAGAGTCATGATATACAGAATTAGATTTGAATCTACTGCCAGAACAATAATTCTATATCAATGCCAAATTAACAGTAATATACAAATGCACAAACGCACATTCTAGACCTTTGAAATTGATCAAAACTGAACAGATGAGGACACATTTGCGCATCACTTGACACAATTTCCCCATTAACTATTGAATTACATCCTTGATTAATTCCCAAGGGTGTTGCGGAGGAAAGTACATATTTAATTAAAAAGAGGAAAACAAGATTATTAACTTACTGCAACCGCCTGGGATCCATTTGGGAGAGTCGAACTTCTACAGACCCTGACGCGAGTAACCCACACTGACAGGCTCTATAAGCCGTTCTCTCAGAGATAAGACTAGCCAACAGCTGCGATTACGGACAGTTAACATTATATATGATGTAAATATATTGAGGGTTTGTCAGGTCTTGCAGGCCATAAAACCCACTTTAATGACCCCACGTGCTCTTCCTGAACCACTCACTGGTCCTGCTTTGGGCAATTGGCATAAATAACCCTCAAAACTTCAAAATACGTGGCAAGAGAGCTAAAAAAAGAGGGGTTTGTGTAAAAAGCAACATAGTAACCACAGTAACTCGCAATGTGGCCCTTTCAGTCAAGATAGCGAGTGTAGAAATTGAAAGAAGCATGGAAATTTACATTGAATCTTCAATATAGGTGAGTGAGACGATTCTAAAATTAAAGCGCTTTTGAAACAGTAGTATAAATTGACTAGCTGCCTGTTTTTATTTTCAGATTAGTGTGTATGTAATGGTAACATTCATAAACTTTAGAAATATGGAGATTAAAATGTTCGATAGCATTTCAAATAGGCTACATTGAGAGCGCTGAGAAGGAATTAATTAAAAACTAAATTAAAAATATGTCAAACCAACAGTAAAGCGGAAAAGAGCTGCGTGTAAAACAAGCCAGACGAAAATGAGCATTTCATAGGCATCGCTCTTATGTCCTTTGTTTGACACGGGCCTGGATTACGTGATTTCGGCACACAGGGTGACTAGCATATGTCTCATTATCTAAATGTCAAATTTCATCAATGAAGTAGTAGCATGAGCAATTCACTCTCAATGTCTTTAATTATGTGCTTTACACGAAGTACGATTAATAACGCAGTTGTATCACACTGCAAATGCATTTTCGAAAAGCAATTCGTATCTTCATAATTTAGTTGACAGTATTTGATTAAGTGTACAAACTATCTTATTGTTTTTGAGGGTTCTGTATGCCAAAACGTCACTTTGAAATGTTTGTGTAAACTTCCGCCGATTTGTTAAAAAAGGAAACAGTTGTCAGTGTTTGATGGGTGAGAGGAAGTGCTGTAAAAGTTTATTGGGGTCATAAAGTTTTATGTGCCTCCGTTGAAGGGCTACTGTAAATAAGTGACCAGAGCGTTAAAGTTCAATCATGTCTCATCAGTGCAAGTATACAAATTCAGACTTGGTCCTCGATGGATGCACGAATATTTATCAAAATCATATTAATTAGCGTAGAACGATTTCTTCTTCCGTCACGAGTTATCAAACGGGCCTTCAGTGCAAAAATGCATTGTGTAAAAAAAGATTAATTGTTTTGTTCCTGTTGCTTTAGCAGACAAAATATAATAATAATAATAACGTTAACAACTGGATATTCTTTACGTTTCAAGTTTATTTACAATCATACCACATTGGACGTTTTATTGGACACAGATGGCTTTTAACCCAGAACTAACGAAACTTACTGATATATTGCCACTATTGACAATTAAATCTTGTTATTTTAATAATACATTACTGACTGGAAAATTGTCGATGTGGCTTAGCAGAGAAACTTCGGAAACAAACGGTTGTAATAACAGAAATAATGGATCATAGAACAAATGCGGTTCACACAAAAGTAGGTCGTGTAGCTTGTTTGGTATGAGAGGTATCAATAAGCCACTCCTTACAAACCATACCCTATAGGCTACTCAAGAGTAGAGTGTATAGAAACAAAAGTCAAGGTACCTATCTGAAAAAATAGCCCCAAAAACATTCACTAAAAGAGCAAAATGTTCTGATTACACAGTATTTTAAAAGACATAATCCTCAAGAGAAAATTACCATTTGGCTGCTGGCTGACAGACAACATGATACACAGCGTTTATTATGACACTAGTTGTTGCATTATCATCGTGGCGTGCGGTTTACCATCCTTGAGTGGATATTTTAGTTGTATAGATGTATTTACGACAAAGTACAATGAATAAAAAGACAAGTCCCATCAAAATGCAATGGGCAGGTTGATGAATGTTGAAGCAAAGCACCACATTATTTACACTTACATTTAAGTCAACATAACTGGATGCAGGCCTTGATATATTATGTAAGTTACTGATACAAGTGATTGTAGTAAAAGCACATTCAAATAAAGTTTAAGCTCATACATTATTCAAATAAGCACCTCCAGCACTCTGGGAATGGAGCCCTATCAATAAATATTGAAAATATGGACATATTCAAAAATGAAAGACATCAACTGTTGTCAACAAGAAAATCTATTTTAAATAGTTTGTTATTTCAGTACAAGTTAACACCGCCTTTATTTTCAAGCTGAAGCCGTGCACCACGTTATTATAGTCCTCCTTTCACTTTCAACTTTGAGTCCTTCTTCCACTTCATGCGACGGTTCTGGAACCAAATTTTAAGTTGGCGCTCGTTCAAGCAGAGGTTATTGGCAATCTCGATACGTCTGCGACGTGTGAGGTATCGGTTGAAATGGAACTCTTTCTCCAACTCCAGAGTCTGGTACCGGGTGTAACTGGTTCGTGACCTTTTACCATCAGATTCTGAGGTGGCATCAGAAAGATATTGGGTTACCTATTTGTAAAATTTTATCGACTGTCGTCCTCATGCATATTACTATGAAATTAATTTTCATAATCTTTGATGAAGTTGCCACCAAACACAGTCCATAGAATGTAATATGAAAACATCAAGCATTATGAAATCCAAAATAAAAACAGTGGACAGGTGGTATGACGCTAATATTTATTTATTCTGAAATAAGAAGTCATGCACAGAAATAACACAAACGTAATGAAACATAATCATAACTGTGAGAAGGCCACGAGCTTTCTAACATGTCCTGACACAAAATATTGTAAGAGCTGAGCAAAAAAAGAGACACTGCGATTGCAATGCCTCACTATTTAAAGGATGCAAATTGACATTTTTGACATAGTTTTGCTTTGCTTTACTACTCCAGCGGTGAAGAGTGCAACTAACCGGAAACATAAGTACTGCCAGAAAATGTAAATGTATGCAAAGATTCGTTTAAAATCCCACTTCACTTAAATAACATGTAAACGCCTTTTAATTCTTAAACCAAGAGATAATACGCAAATTTACATGTTATCTTTATTTTTTATTTTATTTTTGCTTTTCTTAACCAATTATTTCTCCATAAATTTGAACGGAGATCACCTCTTCACAGTAACAGGACAGGTTTACGAGCAATAGATGCCTTTGTCATAAAATTTACGGCCGCTAGTTTTATTATTTCCTGCGTTTGGCCTATAAAACTCAAGAGGAAAAATATGGAGCGACAAAACATGGTAGGAAGGAGATGCAATGAGGAGGATGAGATGCGTGCAGTTTTCCTCTCTTCTAAAACAAACTTTAAACGTAACTTTACCGTGGCTCATGTGTAGCTTTGTCATCCACGGATATATCTGCGGCTGCGACTGGTTCTGACGCTGAGACGAGTTAGTTTGTTGCTTTATCGCCGAAGTAGTCTCCATTTTGATATCGTCTGTGCGGCTCTTGCCGCTGGGCTTCTCCATAACTTCCATATTCCCCTCGGCTTTTTGGCTCAACAGTCCGTGACTGAAGGGGTTGTACCCGTGAGTGCTTACAAAGCTTCGAGAGCCCAGAGCTGAACAGGACTGTGTTCGCTGAACTGCTGCACTGCTCCTTGCACGGTCGGTTGTGTTTATCGCCTCCCGTTTCAAAGAGTTGGAGGGCATTTGAGAACTGAACGATCCGCCGAGATCAAGTCCTTCGTACGCGTAATTGGACTCGTGGAACTCAGAGTGAGCTCCATAGTTGCCAAAAGTGTGCATTCTACAAGAGGAGGCGTCTTGCGTTTGCTTAGAAAAAGACTTTCCAACGTATGAGCTCATTCTTTTTCCAAAACAATATAACCTGGAGAGACTCACAAAAAGCACTCGGTCACGGCAGAGACTAAATCAGCAAATAAAGTGTACATACGTTGTTTAGAAGTTTTATTTGTTTATTGGGCTTTATTTGTATTTCTAGAGGACGTTAGGCTTGTCCTAAAAAAGAGCACGATTTATAGGTGGAGGAAATCATTTCCTTTTTTTTTCTTGATACGACGTGTAATGCCCAAATATGGAATGTTTAAATAGAATCACGTGCAGCTCCTGGCCAGTCATAAATTGGCTTGATCCCCAGGAGGTTATTGATAGACAGGGAAACGTGTCCGATAACTTCTCGGTATGGAAATCATCTAAGGATCCGGGCTAAAAAGGGCGAGACCGTAAGACAAGAGCGTCATCTGGCGTCTAATACTGGACAGAGCGGCCTCTCTCTCTCTCACACACACACACACACACACACACACACACACACACACACAGACTGTGTGTGCATCAATGCATGTGCATTTGTTGCAGCGGCATCCCAAAACCACATGTGATTATTTATCGCAGAACAACCGATTCAGTGTTATGCCGCTATGCAAAGCAAATGTGGTTAGTGTGGTTAGAAAGGTTTTTGTCAATCAAGCATTGTCGCTGTGTCATGAAATAAGCAATGCTTTATTTATTGAATTAAAGTTTATGAAACCTGTGAAGTCGTCCCATACATTAATCATTAGGTATATTAACCGTAATTTGGTGCATTATTCCAGACTTGTTCAAACAAGATGATGGACAAGATACCATGCGATACGATGTTATGACATATTAAATGACAAGGCAATATGAAAAATATGGAGTAGCCTATACTATTATCACATTAGTTACATAGGCTATAAGACAAATATGTCTTTCTCCTGTTTCACAGTAATGTCTTGGGTTTTTGATTGTTTTGTGTGTGTATTACTTTTTTTCTTCAGAATTCGAGAAGTTGTCTATTGTAATCATGGGCGGACTATACACTGCGTCAATGCATGTGCATTTGTTGCAGCGGCATCCCAAAACCACATGTGATTATTTATCGCAGAACAACCGATTCAGTGTTATGCCGCTATGCAAAGCAAATGTGGTTAGTGTGGTTAGAAAGGTTTTTGTCAATCAAGCATTGTCGCTGTGTCATGAAATAAGCAATGCTTTATTTATTGAATTAAAGTTTATGAAACCTGTGAAGTCGTCCCATACATTAATCATTAGGTATATTAACCGTAATTTGGTGCATTATTCCATTCAAATGATTGGAGTTTGGGCAAATTAAACTGTAGTTAAATGTGTACAATTAAAGAATAAACCAAATTCCGATGTAACCGTGAATTGAATTTGTTATTTGGATTTGAATTACTCAAAAACTCACAAAAATATGTAGGCCTCAATAAAATTTCGTAAAAGCTTCTTCAAAACGAACAAGTGTGTAAAGCCTGTTTTTTTTTTTCTCAATTCTGAAACCCTTGATGATGCGTGAAGAGCGCAAAGCTGGAGTCAAAATTAAGACAGTTTTTTTTTTTTCAAAAATTTTATTAAATAATATACAGTTTACACAAACAATATAATTGCGTAACAAGGTATATGTTTGTTTTCATATGGGTGTGATTCTCACTTTAAGACAAGTGTATATGCATACAACTACAAGTATGATGAAATGTATTTTTTGAAGTTCTCTCAAGTTAATGTGCCAGTACAGCGGCATTTTGAACAACAAAACACTGACGAGGCAAAGGCAATATTAAGGAAACAGAAAAAAAATTGCATTAAGAATTTAGGTAGTATAGTTCATCCCGTCAGTGCTTATTTCATTGTACAAATATGCATCCACAAAAAAACTGAATGTGCATATAAGAAGTTTCCTTCACTTCTGGAATACTTAGGGTTCTGTTTAGAGGCTAAATAGTTGGGGAGACGTAGCCTACTTATCAAATTCGAGTACATTTTAATCTAATGTAATTTCTACGAGCCTATAGCAACATGATAATACTAGAACCACACAAATAGTTCATCTGTGGCATTGTCACCACGCAGCCAGTAAGGAGCTATTTTCAATACAAAGAGAAGTTAATTACATTACGGTGGATAACATGTGTCTTTATCTCTCTTAATCTCTCCATTTGTTTCTACGTGTGTATATGTTAGTGGCGTGGTGTTGTAGTAGAGCTTGTGTATGGTATTCAGGTCGTAGGAGGAGGGGGCAGTCGAAGGAATAGCAGAGTATACAGTCCATGCATTAATATTTGCAAATTCTCAGAGTTTAGGTAGTTACGTTGCAGTTAACAGGCGTTCGAGAACGAGAAATGGATTTCCTAATCTTTTTTTTTAGCTTCCTCGGTTTCCTCCTCGGTCTCCTTCTCGGGCTCTTGAGGAGTATCCGTTGATTCGCTCCCCGGTACAGTAGAAGTTAGATTTGTCTCTTTCTTCCATTTCATGCGCCGATTCTGAAACCAGATTTTGATTTGACGCTCGGTTAGGCACAGAGCGTTGGCGATCTCGATGCGTCTGCGTCTGGTTAAATACCGATTGAAGTGAAATTCTTTTTCCAGTTCCAATGTTTGGTATCTGGAGTAAATCTGGCGACCTCTTCTTCTGTCTGACCCGTACCCAACTCCTGTTGTGGGGAAAAGTGCAAATAAATTAAAGAATTCACACACAGAGAAATCCTTAATTATAAATTTAAAATCTAAATTTATTTTTAAAAAACACGTTTGAAATCCTGGTGGAATAATTCACTTTTTGCATATTTATTTTTTTATTTAATTTATAACGTAACTAATATAACAATTTGGCAAAATATTGTATTTCAACCGATATTACAGTCACAAAGCAACGCGAAACGTAACATTTCGATTTTCAGTGTTTCTAAACATTTATTTCAACTAACTTTGCTATCGTGTTTTTTCAAACAGTACATCAGAAGAGTTAAATTATATTTTAACGTAGTAGTGCATGCTCATGTAAAATGTACTTTTTGTTGTATATTTTTCTAACGCACTCACACTTATTGCACAAGTTTTTGAAATAATTCTGGCACTAGAGTATTAAAGGAGGTAGCCAAATGGGATTCCCCTCTCTGAAAAAGGGGGCTTTATAGTCTGATGATTTAGTAGTGGTTTATGAGGCCATAAAATGTAGCTACTCTGTTGATAGGACGTATCGTAAAACAGACCAATTCCACCAGGGTATGTCCCAAGTCTCAGTAAAAACTCACCGTTGTGCGAGTTCATGCGCTGCATCCACGGGTAGATCTGAATGTTGTTCCCTTTCTGTTCCAGTGTTCCTGCACGAGCTTGTTCCAGGTTGTACTCCTGGGCAACGTGGCTCTGCGCATTGAGTCCCATACTAGTTTGTCTGCAACTGGGAAGCACATCCTTATCTTGAAGAAACACGTTAGATCCATACTCGTACGGTCCTCGACTTGATCCAAACATAACGTTATCTTGAGGTGAATAGAAAGGGGACGCATAAATCCGGTTTTGGGTTACTGTGGTGCCATAAGACGAAAAATGTCTGACTGAATCATATGTGGTCGTGTTCAGTGGCATGTTGGGCAAAACCTCTTGCCCACCAGATAAATGGCACGATAGCGACGGGTTCGCGAAATACGAATTCATACCTTTCCTATCGCCCTCTCATCAACTCACCCTCCTATCTTATTTCCCCTCTCTTAATCTCACACTTTCTTTCTTTGTGCTTTGGGGTCTGCTTCCTTCTGTCACATACACACGTCTCCCGCCTGCTTTCCTAACTCTCTTTCAAATGAACTTCAGAAGGATTTCAATAATATTAATTTCCAGTCTCCGGTTAAGACGCGCAAAGCAAGTGTTATAGCCAAGGCTTGGCTCATGGAAGGACAATATGACAGCGTCACCTGACCACTTTCAGCCAATTGAATGCGCGGTGTACGGAGTAATATCGAGCTTGCAGCTTCCTATCCTTGTGGCTTCAGTTGATAATGTTTAAGTAAACACACAAAAACACAGAATAGGCACTTACACGAACAATGAAATATGTCTTTTTGTGCATTAATCACAGAGTTAATTTGTTATATGTGCCGGTACAAAGCTTCTCAACGTGTATTGTGAAGGTAAATCTACACTTATAATCATGCGTTTTACAATGAGCTTTTTCATCGAAATTAATTACCTGTAAGATCGCTTTTACAGTTGATTATTGTCGCTGACTTAGACCAAACTAAATATATTTATATTTTACAACATGATAATACTAATCATAAGTAAATGTATTTCTTCTCGACGCAACAACTTAATTACTTAATTACAACTACTGGGTAGATGATATAACTCAATTTGAACCACTAAATATAACCCTTTGTTTAAAAAAAATTGCTACATGCCTGTTTACGCGTTATCTACGCATATATTGTTAACCCTCCATTTTAAGATGCATTTCGCAAAAAAAATTGTGAATAAATCTGCTGATGCACATTTCATATCATATTATTAGACATATTCACGGCATTGTCGTCAGTCACCAAGTTAAGGGACCACACTATTCTTTTTGTTATTCAGTAGATATTTCCCTATAACGTTTGTGTCTCTCTTCAATTTCCTCGAGCTTTCATTGCACTGAAGGGGAAACGTCTGTTCTTTTCCTTTCCCCATTTGTAAAGTATTGATAATTTCAATGGTAAAAAGAACCTGAGTAAGGAGGGGGGAAGTGGCATCTTACTAAAGAATGCGTCAAACGCGCCTTGGTGCCATAAAAGTCACAAAACCAACTGAGGACTTCCAGCTCTGAGGCAATTATCCCTTTGAATGTATGGGGGCTGTGCAGCGAGTCTCTTATCTTGTGGACTGAAAGCTGCACATTTTTTTAGCATTTAACTTTCTAGGTTATGCAGAATGATTATGAATAAAAATAATACTATGAGACATCTTTACACAATTTAAGTACTGTTGACTATTCATTTTATTTATAAGTATTATTTTTTACAGAATTTCGTGCAGTGATCATATATG